TCACCAGCGCGTCTGTTTCTCTCTTCTGTCTTGCCTTAAACCAAGCCCCCGAAGCTGCATCTGAGCGCCCATTCATCACCACGTCCCAATTACACCAACCCCTTCACCTTGCACCTCCAACCACATGTTTCAACCGTAATGTGTTAGGTAGGGCTACCAAGCACTCCTGGCAAACTGTCAAGCGGTGTCGGCAAAGGGCGTCGCGAAATAGTATTGGAAAAAAACTAGAATAACAGCCGAGCCGAGCTGAGCCGATTTTTAGTAGTTGATCAAACGAACACTAACACTGAAACAGCGACACAAGTTGTATTATTTATGTAGGTGACCGGAGCGAGAATATGTGGACGTGAGATCCATAAACAATTAACACAAAACAAAAAGGTACGGGCTTGAGGCAATTCTTCTTGAAATTGCCGCACTTGCTTACCCGTTTGTTTCTCGGTTCATCTTCACGCGCTCCCGCCGAAACTCCAAGCCAATTACAGATAAAAATTTAAAAAAGTAAAGAAGAAAATAATTTTGTTGCTCAATGTTGAAAACCCTCCACATCCGTTTTCTGGGAAAGAAGGAGGGACACTGTGAGTTGTATTAGATTATTGCCAACATGAATGGTTAATTGCTTTGCCAGCAGCAATCTCCGTTGACAGGGCTGGCAGTGGTTTTTATGCGTTTTTGCATATATGCAAATGCAAAAACCCATATTGTGGCGAACCGTGGTGTATTGTGTGTGTGCATCTATCCTGGTATTGCGGATTCGGCAACCAAGTAATCTTCGGCGTTAAAATTTTGCCAGTGGCTTCCCGGGCAAGTACCACCCCAGGAACGCGGTACCAACCGCGCACGTCTGAGCCTCGCGTACGCTCGTATACATTGAATGAGCGTTCGACGAAAATTGCTCATTTTCCTTTACGCAAAATTTTGCTCCCAAGTATACATTGTTTTAAAGTACGAGCAGTCAAAAGTTGTGGCGGGAAATTTACTCACTGAACTGTTAGTTCATTTTCAAAGAATGACCGTTCGACGAAAATTGCTCATTTTCCTTTACGTAAAATTTGTGATCATTTATACTGAGCGCACAAGGTAAGTGTAAAGCAAGAACTATTCATACAGTTAGCGACCTGGCTATTTAAAGTTTAATGCAAAAACGCATGACTGCACCGGCAACCAAGTATGTTCCAGCCTAGAGCTTTTTTTTGTGTGCTTATGTGATAAAATATCCCATCAAGCGATACTCTTTAGAGTGCATCTAGATGCTCTTTCATAAGCACTATTTCACAAAAATCACTCGACCGAGTAAGTGTCAAAACTTGCAGTTTCATTATGCCAATAATTTGCATATATTGTATTTCAGACGCATGTGACATGTACATGCTGGTTGAGGGCGATACAGACGAAGAGGGTTTGATTCCGATTGATGGTGGACCAGTGATAAAGTCCGGTGATCAATATGCGGAACACAGCACAACGCCGTACATGATCAACAGTCAAACATATAGTTACAAGAAGATTTCAGCCATAGCTTGTGGCCAGTGCCCCATTTATAGGCTCAGTTGTTAGAGTGATTCGAAACAGCACAGTACCCTTTGCTTTGCAAAATCAACGCTGGACTAAGTAGAGAAGCAAAACTGCAAACTTGCGAGATCCGTGTGTTAAACAAGTCGTGACCAGTCAGTCGTTTTTTATGCGTTTTTGCGTATATGCAAACGCAAAACGCACATTGGGATAACCTATGGTGTGAGTATGTTTGTGTGTG